ACCTGAAATGGACGAGACCCCGTTAAGCTCTGGCACACAACCTGAAACCTCCGCTTCATCTTTAGTCTCATCCTGCAGTGATGATACACCGTGCACTTCAACCCCACATTCATCCCCAGAAACTCAGCCTTCCGTGTCGTCCTGGCCCAATGTTTTTGTGATCCCAAAATTTATATATGATGCTGAATTTGAGCTATGCCAAAAGAACTTAGAGTTTGAGACGAATGGAACATACTTCAGCCCTGGCCCAGAATTGCCCTACTGTCAGAACTCAAAAAGCATGACAGTGAAGTGGTAATAAAAGCAAAAATGGAAAAAACCTTTTCCCACAGACGACTAGAGATTGTGGAGCAGAGATCCATGATAGAGGACTTCAAAAACAGATGGCCTGCCCTGTTTCAGGAGAATGAAGTGAGTCAATGTGCACGTTTTAATGTATGTATTTTTCCCCATGATGATCAATGGATGCACTATTTGAAAAAAATCCAGCATCCTTGAATGTTTGCATGATAATATGTTTTTTAAAAATGGCTGTATTTTGTCATTTTTCAGGTGAATGCAGAGTTCTTAAGGATCACAACCAAACCACTGGTGTCGAAGTTTTTGTCACAACTGGACCACTTCTCCGACAAGTTGATACAAATCTTCAAGAACAAAGGAAGAGTGAAGGGTCAAAAGATCAGGGATGTCCTGGCAATCGACAATTCGGTCAGTGGAAATGCATATAGCATAATTTTCATCACTTTATTGGGACAATATAATTCTTCTTCTTCTTCTGCTTCTTCTTCTTCTGCTTCTTCTTCTTCTTCTTTTTCTGCTTCTGATTTGGCTGATTTCTGTCTTTTTTTGTTTTTATTCCCGTTTTAGTGTGACATCTACATCAGGAGAGAGTATCCTGAAATCCCTCATCATATACCTCAATGAAGATCCGGACACTTTGCTCAAGGAATATCTTGTAAGCTAATCATTATGTCCATGTCTAGATGAAAACTGCAGACAAGGATTTAAAAATGGTTATTTCTTTAATTTTCTGTTTGTTGTGTTCAGCATTTCACTTAACAGAAGTCTTCTGTGTTTGTGCTGTTGTTCAGGCCTCCGCCATCGAGGATTCAGAGAGGGACATCGCTAGTACAGTCTGTCATCCACAGACCTGGGGATGAGGAGCCAGAGGACGTGGGAGTTGTGATCGAAGGCGTCAAAGTTCTCACCAACACTGGCAGTGTCATCATTGCTTTCATCATGCTGTTTGGGCTCATTTATGCCCTTGATCTAAGCTTTCCAGTCAACCTCAAGTACACTTTCGAGTTCTTCCAAAAGATCATAATGAACTTGGATGGGCACAAGCTGAATGCAAAAATACAGCAGCTGAAAATCAAGCTATTTGCGTAAGTGCTGGACATCAGGTGAGAGTTTGGTTGGTTGACCAATTTCCCTCATGACATTGTTTGTTACACATTGTCCTCCACGTTTTTCTTTGCATCCAGTCAAAAACAGTTGGGATCTTGTGGATGCTTCCTTTTCTAATGTTGCGATAGTTGAGAACAGACTGCTGCACAGAGACAAACTAGGAGCTGCAGTCAACTGAAATTTAAAATATTGCAAGCTTCTGTTTGAATTTACCAATGAAAATTACATGATATGCTGCCTTGGGGAGTGCAATGACTGCACTGACAGTTTAAAACTAGCATTACATGGGTTTGATGCACTTGAACACTTTGCCCACTTCACCTTCACATCCTAACCCCCAAAGTGTTACTTTACCGTCCACCCTGTTTCTGAAATTCATCTCAAGTTACCATCACATCCATTTTCTCCTCCCTGTCATCTCTCAAATCAAGTTTAAATTCATCTACATATGATTCAGTGATTTTTGAATGGCAAAAATGTGGTGTAACCACACTTGTCTTGGAGCAGAAAAGTGGTCTGCACTACCCACTACCTCATTTCATGATGGTGTACTAATGAAGGTGTAGAGAAGTCTTTTGTACAGTAAGTGTTTAAAGGTTTTTCTTACTTTGTATGTTCAACATGTCACTTGTTACCATTGTTTCGCGGCAACGTTACGCCACAAGGTTACCTTATCAGGTGTTTGAAACGGTGCTCTTGAGTGGTAGCATTATAGTATTCCATGCATTTTTTCACAGTATGTGTAAATATACTCTTCAGTTTAAAAGAGTAATTGCAAAACTGTATCCTTTGTTTTACTGACAGTCTGCAGGGAAAGGAAATGCAGCTGCACTT